CACCATTCTGCGGCTGGCTGACATGAGCTACCTGATAAAGTACGCACACATGGTAGAAGATAAGGAATCGATGATAGTATGTAGACGATAGCATAAGAACTAGGATAATAATTTATATATAAAGCCGTCGAGCTATCGACGTTGACCATTCAACCACAAAGTTTGTCGCGTATTATTGTTCCCGCACCAATTCTGCTCCGCTCAATACAATATACGAAAAGTTTCTACTCTATTTATTATTCTATTCCATTTATCTTATTTAGGTTTCTGACTATGCGGCTTTTCGTTACAATAACAACCGCCAACCCAACCATGTACTCGGAAATAACCGAGGAAACAAACTTATAATGAACCATTTTCCCCAGTCCCACATAAAAATAAGATAGAACGCTATAGTCGAGCAAGACCGACAGTAAATACCCTGCACTCTCCACAAAAAAGGAAAATTTAGGAAAAAAAAGTATTTAAAAAAATGTTATTAATTTAATAAATTAAATATAAAATATTAAACACATGCACACATACATACATAAGTGTTTATGTACAATTTCAATAGAATAAATGTACATCATCGTGTATCTGCGTGTTTATATGCGTGAATGTATGCAGCCAAAAGTTGAACCAAAGCAGCAACACAGCTGCGGGCAGAGCATGGGCAAGGGTTTTGCTTTCTTTCAATTAACGGACATATAATCACTAACTGGATTAAATAACCCAATTTTCAAAATTTTAAGAATTACGGGAGTTATGGAAAAGACACGATTTGCGGTGGTGCATCGAAAAAAACTCAAATTCGTACTTTCTCGGACTTAGGAAAATCTGGATAGCTCTTATACTTTCTAAAATCCTTCCGTTCATGCAGACGGACGGACATGGCTATATCGACTCGACTTGTCACGCTGATCAAGAATATATAAGTATACTTTGTGGGGTTTGCCACTCTTCCTTCTCCCTGTTACATACATTCGCACAAAACTAGTATACCCTTTCACCCTTTGGGTACAGAGTATAAAAATATTAGAATCCAACATAGGCCATACAAAAACCCTTTAAGAATTTGTTTACATACACCACAGACATACAAGAAAAAAAAAATTAGCTGAAACTGTAAATCTGATTGTCAATCGAAACCGGCTACCTCTACGAAACACTCGGTTACACTTGCTAACCCCGCTTGATTCTTGATTCTAAAGATGGTACTATAATAAATTCAGCGGAAGATAATAATGTCGCAGACTGTGGCAATAAAATCCTGCCAATCGGAAATTGCACCGCTACTCTCACGACAACATTTTGCAAGGAGCTATCCTCCACGACATGTGCGCAATAACTCCTCGCCGATGGTACCGCACACTGCAGCACTCGTCCCAGTCATCTAGGAACGCTACAGGTAGTGGGCGAGGGTATCAACATAATAAATGAGGGAACTGCTGAAATAACAAGTAAAAAAGCTAAAGTCGGGTGTCCCGACTTTGAAATACTCTGTACATATGTTTACAATAATTATAGAAAATAAAAAAAAAAAGAAAAAAAAATTGGATCGATTTTACCTCCCTCGGTATTCGAACTCACGTAAAGGATGTATAATTGCACATTTACATAGCAATTGCGCCTGTGTGAGTGTATGTATGCCTATGCGCATCAATTCGTGTCTGTGTAAGCATTTTCGCAGTCAACCAAACAGCAACATCAACAACAGCCGCGGGCAGCGCTTGAGCAGCGCTGCAGCAGCAAATATATTTATGGCTATAACTTCTTGGTAAATCGGTCTATCATAGTGAAACTTGGCATACGGACACATAATTACTAACTGGGAGTATTTGCAAAATTTTAGTTCGAAATTCCAAGAATTACGGGAGTTAGAGAAAATCGCAGTTGCGGGGGAGAGGGGGGAGGGAGGGGAATTCCAAAATATATATTTTCTGCGTATTCACACAAGGCATCTTGGACTAAAATTTGGTGTGCCTAGGTCTTATAGTCTCCGAGATATAGGCGATTATACGAATGAAAAATCGGGAAAACCCCCATAGGGGGGAAGTGGGGGGGAAAATCAAAAAAATAAAACAAACTCGTATAGAATACACACATAACGCATCTTTGTGGAAAATTTGGTGTCTCTATCTCTTATAGTCTCTGAGATCCAGGTGTTCATACGGACGGACAGACGGACAGACAGACAGGCAGGGCTAGATCGACTCGTCTTGTCACGCTGATCAATAATATATATACTTTGTGGGGTCTGCCACGCCTCCTTCTGCCTGTTACATTTTTCAGCTCCCGCAAACCTAATATACTCTTGTACATTTCATGTACAGAGTATAAAAATTGATAACAGTGCAGAGAAACGTATCCATGGTAGCAACATCGGCATGAATATCACTGGACACCACGAAATTTTGAGCCTGTCATATCTGCAAAGGTTAAATATTGAAAATCTGCGGTACATTGGTTATATAGAGGATAAGTTGACAACAAGACCGGCGATGTTCAGCGCATCCATTCTTTTCTTCATAGCTATTGGATTCCTTCTCTTGAAGTTGTACTAGAAACGGAGAAGGGCTAGCCGCCAATCTTCCCTACAGATTGTTATCAAGAGTCTGAGGAAAACAGAGGACGGCCTTCAAGTCAGTGACCGCCCGATCATGCAGAATAAGAACGATTTTGGGCATGATCATCAATTTTAGCGTATGGCTCGTGCACGTGCACTGTAGAATAGTCGCGCGTCAGCAACAACATGGCACTTGCACTTGCAGAAAATGCCATATCAGCAAATATGGGTCACGGGGCTAGCTTTCATTTTAAGAACCTTTCTGTACGTAGAGTTAGTTGATTTTTGGAAATAAATCGCGGCGGTCATCGCCACGTGAAAACTTTACCTTAAACGTCTACTCATTTGTGCGACACCGCGCATCTTATTAATTCGCTCAAAGCGAATCGGTGTAAAAACCTACCTAAATAGTGCTACAACGCGCACCCCATCTATTCATCTAACAGCGAACTTGCTTAATTTATATATGTATACCTTGTCGGAGATGCTTTCTTCTGCAAGTTACATACTTTTTGTGCAAAGTAATATACATATGTACATATTCTTTTTACCTTACGGGTACAGGGTTAAAATCCAGTACTGATCAAAAAGTTCCACTCGTGTGAAAAATATGATTTAAAAAATAAAGAAACATAAACAAATTGAATAATGCTTTAAAGGGTGTAATTATTTACATACATAAATGTACATATGACACATCGAAAATAACACCACCTTAAATTGTCCCGCTTTGGCTATTGAAAAAGTTGGTCGCCTTCCTATTATCAGAGTTACATATATGTACATACATACAGTGCACTTCGTGCAGGCGTTATACAAATCTTTAAAACGCCGTAGCAAGAAAACGCTTCGTTAAATCAAAATTTGTTAAATGCAGAATTGTAGCTATTTACTTATAATATATTAAATAAGTTTAGTGAATTTCGAGCAGTGCTTTATTTTTCAACAAAACAGAAATGGATCATATTGCAACCAAAAAAAGGTCACAGCTTATTTCGTGCAGTGATTTACGTTCGCCAGCAATGTCGAATGGGTAACCGAAATGGAGTTCTTCTTCTTCCATTGTAATTAGCAATGGGTTAACTAATTTATTTAAATACATTTTCCGGTTTTTCCCAATTCAATATAAATATTTTAGCATTTCTCAGTATGGGTCGCTTATTGGGTGGTTTATTGGTGCTCCCGAATTATAAAGAAGGCATGAACCAATAGAAAATAGCGGGTCTCGTAGATCTGAGTCCTGGTAAAGTGCAGAGCATCATCGAACGCCTTGTACGTGAGAATAGGGTCGCCATTAACGGTCTAAATACTTTAAATTAGATTTTCACGGATTCGGAATAGCGGCGTACAGTACGGAAAATTAAAGAAAGCCCCATGCTATCACCCCAAATTAGCCGTACAAATAGAGGATGAACTGGGCAAGAGAAATACACTTTCAATGGTTGACAACCTTTAGGAAGCCGTTTATGCTCACAGGAAATAAGAGGTGCCATTTTTAATTTGCCAAGGATTTCGTTCTGAAGCCAATCTCAAGGTGCAACGACGTAATTTTTGCAGACGAGTCCATATTTAATATCAATGGGTCCAACGGACTGCAGCAGGAATGGCTAATGCCGAATAATTTTCTTCAAAAGAAACATCTTATTCCTACATTTAGGCCCGGAGGAGGAGCTGTACATGTTTGGGCCTGTATGTCCGACTCCGGAGTCAGGAAATTGGTTTTCAGGAAATAATCATGGATAAGAATAGGTTTGGGGATCTTTTTCCATTTTACCAAGGCAATGACCCAAAACATAAAGCGGGAATTGTGCAGACCTGGCTGATCTGGAACTGTCCACACATGATTCCAACATCTCAGTCACCAGAATATCATATCAAATTGTTTGGCTATTTTGGATTTAGCTATTAGCAAACGGCAAATTTAAAGCATAAATGACCCAAAGAGGCCATATTGTAAGAATGGCGAAAAACACCATTAGAAACTACAGACAAATTTCTGGCTTCTATCAATAGCCATTTGAAAGCTCTTATCCAATATAAAAATGGCCAAACCAAATATTAATTAAAAGTACATTTTTTTAAGTATGAAGCCACTGCACACCACCAAATAAGCTGTGACATAAAATTGTGGTGCCTTTTAAATTTTTTTTATTTAAATATTAATAATATAAATGCAATCCATTCTAAAATATATATTAAGTTATCAACAAATTGGCGTTTAAATTTTTTGGCTATTGATCATATTTTGCCTGTAATGGCATTTCAAAGAACATTTTTGCGCATGCACGAAATAAGCTGTGACTCACTGTATGTAAATGTAGATATGTACATACATATGTATGTACATATATAAGTCAGTTTATTATCATTGTGGCTAGTTGTATTCGCATCACTTGGACGTTACGCGACATAAATATATATTACTTCTGTTGATATATGTATATAAACACACCTCAATCATGACTTCTTTATTGTTTATCTTCAAAAACTCCATTTGTTTGATTTGTACATACGACGTACTGAGCTAGAGATGAGCAAATATGGCTACTACCGATTAATATCGATATAGAGATGTCGATATAATATGGGTGTTAATACATGAAACATGATATATTATCACGATGTACGGTAAAATATTTATTCTCATTATTTATATTATTTTAACGCTATTCATCTTTTCAAGGAATAACCCAAAAGTAAATCAAGAAGTAGAACTTACAACATTCTGCAGCATCTGTATACGGCATTACAGCCCACCCAGACGCCACAAAATTTCGGATATAATGGACACAAATTGCACAGAAATATCAGGCAAGTGGAAAGTGGCTAGCTTATTGGACCCTTTTCTTAAGTGTGCTCCATGGAAACAGTGCTGCTATTTTTTTAATTAAAAAAGAAGCTGTTTTTAACTGGAATAAAGGGCAAATAAGTCGAAAATTTGCAGAAAAAAACCTGCTAAATGGAATAGAGTCGTGTAACAATATATACAATTTTTAATTTTCACACCGTGTTAAATTAAAACCGTGTAAAAACAGATATAGGTACATATTCATGTATATTCCTTTGTCATTTTACAAATATGTTACTATTGGCTCTCCCTTTTGGTAATGAGATGATAATTTACCTTAAACAAGTAGTATCATATCGATAAAAATAATGAACATGCTAGTTTTTTTTATTGTTTTATGTGTCCGGTGGCAAAATTAAAGAAAGGGGGAAAAAAGCCAAACACATTTCATAAGCATCCAGAATACCCGCTTCCCGCAATTTCCAAATTTTTTCCGTAAGAACAACCAGATTTGACGCGAAAAAGGCGAAATTGGTAGACCTCCATAGAAACAATAACCGATTGCTGGATCCTCCTTAGCGATGGATATCGGCGAGAAAATGCCGATATTTATACCGGGCAAAATATCTCATAGAATATCATATCAAATGTCAAAAATCGGCGATTGCGCATGACCAGTCTGATTTTGAAACTCTGTACATGAAATGTACAAGAGTATATTAGGTTTGCGGGAGCTGAAAAATGTAACAGGCAGAAGGAGGCGTGGCAGACCCCACAATGTATATATATTCTTGGTCAGCGTGACAAGACGAGTCGATCTAGCCCTGTCTGTCCGTCTGTCCGTCCGTATGAACACCTGGATCTCAGAGACTATAAGAGATAGAGACACCAAATTTTGCACAAAGATGCCTTATGTGTGTACGCTATACGAATTTGTTTTATTTTTTGAATTTTCCCCCCACTTCCCCCTAATGGGGGTTTGCCCGTTTTTCCATTCGTATAATCTCCTATATCTCGGAGACTAAGACCTAGGAACACCAAATTTTAGTCCAAGATGCCTTGTGTGAATACGCAGAAAATGTATATTTTGGAATTTCCCTCCCTCCCCCCTCTCCCATGCAAATCGCGATTTTCTTTAACTCCAGCAATTCTCAGAATTTCGAACTAAAATTTTGTAAATACTCCCAGTTATTAATTATGTGTCCGTATGCCAAGTTTCACTATGATAGACCGATTAAACAAGAAGTTACAGCCATAAATATATTTGCTGCTGCAGCGCTGCTCAAGCGCTGCCCGCGGCTGTTGTTGATGTTGCTGTTTGGTTGACTGCGAACATGCTTACACAGACACGAATAGATGCGCTTATACATACATACACTCACATAGATGCAATTGCTTTGTATATGTGCAATTATACACCCTTTACGTGAGTTCGAATACCAAATAAGGTAAAATCGATCAAAATTTTTTTTTAATTCTCTTACTTTTTTTAATTTCTATAATTATTCTGAACATATGTACAGAGTATTTCAAAGTCGGGACACCGGACTTTAGCTTTTTTACTTGTTATACTCTGTACATGAAATGTACAAGAGTACATTAGGTTTGCGCGAGCTGAAAAATGTAACAAGGAGAAGGAGGCGTGGCAGACATCGCGTGTGGGTATCGGTTTCAAGTTGTTTTTTCTGCCAACTGGCAGTTTGTGGAATCTTAGTTTTCTCAGCTGTTTTTTCAGAGTTTATGTGCTACAGCACATTATTTACTCTTTCAACTATTGAATTAACAAAAAATTTAATCCCAACAGATTTTCAGCACTTGTGCGAAAACGGGAACATCGAGGTGTTATGACAAAAGATGTTTTCGAGTACGCGGCATCCCTGGGCACTGCTTCTCTAATCTGTGGGGATTTTAATGCAAAATCCACTACATGGGGCAGTAGCGATGGCAAAGGGTACTGCTTAGAACGGGCGGCTCTTAATATTGGCTTTGTCTGTATTAAGGACAGTTCCACTACATTCTCACGTTGTCCAGGTGAAACATGAACAATATGGATTTTAGATGGCAGGCTTTAAGCTGCAAGTTAACTAACAGTAACCATTTCCCGGTCATTATAGATCTAGATCACATTAACTCGGGTTCCATCCACAAAAAAGGCCTCCACAATAGGATAGCGAGAGTCTTTGCAAACAGTGATTTCTCCAATTTGGTTTCACTCATTGGCAATGTCCGTGTGGTTACCAAAACTAACACCGTCACTATTTTTGGAGGGAACAAATATGTACCCAAGAGATGGTGGGACGAAGAAGCCAATAAACTATTTAAGAACTTAGGAACGCTGGCAGGAAAAAATTCTACTTCTCCAAGAAGCTTGAGGATGCGCAGCTTCTCATGGTGGGGGAAGCAAAATTACAAAACCACATAAGAAACTGCCGCAGAGCCAACTTCAGGAAATATGTAGATAAGATGTCAACAATTCCATCATTGTGGCGTGGTACTAAACAATTAAAACTCTATAAAAGTGTAAAAAGGACAGCGAACAGCTGGTTCAAGGCCAAGACGCCAATCATAATATACAGTTCTCCTAGTATGGTGGGATCCCCAGTCCAAGAAGGGGCCCCAGGTTCTTTCAACTTTGATGATTTTATCTCTGTGCTGAATGCGAGAAATCCTGATTCGGCAAGGGGACTTGATGGCATCTCTGCAACTGCAGTCGTTACCTAACCCTAAGAAGATTCAACTCTTCAATCTTCTAAATGACATCTGGCTGGCTGGAGTTTTTCTGGAATCCTCGAGACAAATCAGGCTAGTGCCGGTACCCAAAAGGGGCTCCAGCTCTGACCTTGTATGCAACCATAGACCTATCTGCCTGATTAGCACACTTCTGACAACTGTAGAGGAACTAATTAAAATAAAATTGGATGAACATATCACAAGTCGTGACCTGCTGGCGGAGAGATCCTATGCTTTCAGAAAGGCAGAAACCGTGAAATTGCTTCTTTTAAGATTAGTGTTCCGTTTGAAGCTTTTGCAACTATTTGTGACCCAAAATTTTGGCCACCGCATATAATAGTTCATGAGTTCAAAAAGAAAAATCGCACTATTCCAATTCCGGTGTCCCTGCCAGTTAGTGCTTCAATACCACCTACTAACAATGGTTCAAAAAACTAGAAATTTTTCCTAAATCTCTTAGTTTACATTACCAAAACGTTAGAGGTTGTAACGTTGTTACTCTGCCGCGGGTATGCTCGCCGGCCAGAGTATGCTGAAATAAATTAGGCACCCCAAAGTGCCGAGGTGTCCAACCAATAAAAGAGGGCGGTGTGCCAAAACTTCTCCACGTGTTTTATTCCAAAAGAATCAAAAATGCAGCCAGCGCTTCAGTGCGTGTTGGGCATGAGCCAGAAGAGAACTAAACTTAAAACGAATTTACAATTACTTGCCTTCATGGCTTACTGTTCTTATAATTACTTGTACTTATAACTACTCGTAATGACGCACAGCTGGTTGCTGCGCAACGCGTCGTTACACCTCCCCCTTTCCCCAAGGGGTCGAACGGCCCGATCGGTGGTTTTCTTCGAATTTTCCTTCACCGCGCCATAATCGAACGGCAGATGCGTAGCAGCTGGGTGGCAGCGCTGCCACCCCTCGCGTTTGGCCACCTGTCAACGCCACCTGTACCTTCACCGTCAGCTGTTCGCTCTGTCATTCGGTCGCATTGTTGTTTTCTGCATTTCCGCCGCGTGGTGCTGACGTGTCGTCATCCTCTGGATTCTGTACTGGGTGCTGTAGTGGCTGCTGTGGGACTGGCTGCTGTTGCCGTAGCTGTTTAGGGATCGCCAATGGAATTATCATACCGCCCATCTGCTGCGTCTCTGGTATATTCGGCGCTGAGTGTGTATCTCAGGCGGTGCGGTAATCTACATCGCTTCACATGGCCTGAAACGTAACAACAAACTGCGTTTAATTATGTTTGTAGGCTTACATGGGCATCTTCTTCGGCTAGAACGGCAGCTTTGCTGTTCCCGCTTTGGTGGACGCCGGTGGTGTTGCCGTTGCTGTTGTCGGTGTGGCTGCTACGAAGCCCTGGTTGCTGTTGCTGCTGTCGTGGCTGTCGTGACCGTGGCTGCTGTCGTCGTGCTCGTTGATATGGCCGATTTTGTTGCCCGGACTGCCGCTGTGGCTGCTTTTGTTGGCGCTGAGGAGTGGCCTGCTGTGAAGCTGTCGGTGGCGTGGCCCTGGTGACCATACTAACGCTGCCTCTGTCGTCGCTGCCTCTGTCGTCGCTGCCTCTGTCGTCGCTGCCTTCGTCGGCTTCGCTGTCTTCTGCGTTCACCGCTTTTAGATCTAGTTAGTTCTTCCAGGCGGGGTCGGTACTCTTCTTGGGCCGACTTCACGAACGTTGCCAGCCGCACCCGCAAAGCCTCCACGGTGCCGGTCTCCTCGATGTCGAACTCGCGCAGCACCGTGCTGAGCTCTTCCTTCCGCAGCACACGAATCCAGCTCGTTCGTAGCATCGTAGGTCCACGCTCTCTCCCCTACTTGGTCGGATCTAACCTCACACTTCTTTGGGGTCCCTGCTCGGGCGCCACTTGTAACGTTGTTACTCTGCCGCGGGTATGCTCGCCGGCCAGAGTATGCTGAAATAAATTAGGCACCCCAAAGTGCCGAGGTGTCCAATAAAAGAGGGCAGTGTGCCAAACTTCGCCACGTGTTTTATTC